CATTAAGCAGCAGCCAGGAGCCAGGAGCCAGCAGCCAGCTAGCCAGCATCCAGTAAGCAGGTAACACGCAGCCAGTAGTCAGCAGCCAGTAGTCAGCAGCCAGAACAACAACAAGAACAAGAACAAGAACAAGAACAACAACAACGACAACGACAACGACAACGACAACGACAACGACAACGACAACAACAACAACAACAACAGCAACAACAGCAACAACAGCAACAACAGCAACAACAACAGCAACAGCAACAGCACCAGCACCAGCACCAGCAGCAGCAGCAGCAGCAGCCAGCTAGCTAGCCAGCATCCAGTAAGCAGGCAACAGGCAGCCAGTAGTCAGCAGCCAGGAGCCAGCAGCCAGAACAAGAACAAGAACCAGCTAGCCAGCAGCCGTTAAGCAGCAGCCAGGAGCCAGCAGCCAGCTAGCCAGCATCCAGTAAGCAGGCAACAGGCAGCCAGTAGTCAGCAGCCAGGAGCCAGCAGCCAGAGCAACAACAAGAACAACAACAACAACAGCAGCAGCAAAAGAGATTTTTTCTAGGAATTCAGAAGGGACGTTAGGCACTTTTTGTGGATAAGTTTGAGCGCGGTTTCGGCACGCAATTAGGTGCTGTTTTGCTGTGGCGAAGGGTCCCTTCTGGAGGGCTGATGCTTGCAGCCTGGAGCCACCAAACAAGAGCTGCAGGAGACAGAAAAAGATAGATTTTTTCTAGGAATTCAGAAGGGACGTTAGGCACTTTTTGTGGGTAAGTTTGAGCACGGTTTCGGCACGCAATTAGGTGCTGTATTGCTGTGGCGAAGGGTCCCTTCTGGAGGGCTGATGCTTGCAGCTTGGAGCCACCAAACAACAGCTGCAGGAGACAGAAAAAGAGATATTTTCTAGGAATTCAGAAGGGACGTTAGGCACTTTTTGTGGATAAGTTTGAGCACGGTTTCGGCACGCAATCAGGTGCTGTATTGCTGTGGCGAAGGGTCCCTTCTGGAGGGCTGATGCTTGCAGCTTGGCAACAGCTGCAGGAGACAGAAAAAGATATTTTTTCTGGGAATTCAGAAGGGACGTTAGGCAGTTTTTGTGGATAAGATTGAGCACGGTTTCGGCACGCAATTAGGTGCTGTTTTGCTGTGGCGAAGGGTCCCTTCTGGAGGGCTGATGCTTGCAGCTTGGAGCCACCAAACAAAGCTGCAGGAGACAGAAAAATAAAGACTTTTTCTAGGAATTCAGAAGGGACGTTAGGCACTTTTTGTGGATAAGTTTGAGCACGGTTTCGGCACGCAATTAGGTGCTGTATTGCTGTGGCGAAGGGTCCCTTCTGGAAACCTGATGCTTGCAGCTTGGAGCCACCAAACAACAGCTGCAGGAGACAGAAAAAGAAATATTTTTTCTAGGAATTCAGAAGGGACGTTAGGCACTTTTTGTGGATAAGTTTGAGCACGGTTTCGGCACGCAATTAGGTGCTGTATTGCTGTGGCGAAGGGTCCCTTCTGGAGGGCTGATGCTTGCAGCTTGGAGCCACCAAACAACAGCTGCAGGAGACAGAAAAAGATATTTTTTTCTGGGAATTCAGAAGGGACGTTAGGCAGTTTTTGTGGATAAGATTGAGCACGGTTTCGGCACGCAATTAGGTGCTGTTTTGTTGTGGCGAAGGGTCCCTTGTGGAGGGCTGATGCTTGCAGCTTGGAGCCACCAAACAACAGCTGCAGGAGACAGAAAAATAGAGATTTTTTCTAGGAATTCAGAAGGGACGTTAGGCACTTTTTGTGGATAAGATTGAGCACGGTTTCGGCACGCAATTAGGTGCTGTTTTGCTGTGGCGAAGGGTCCCTTCTGGAAACCTGATGCTTGCAGCTTGGAGCCACCAAACAAAGCTGCAGGAGACAGAAAAAGAGATATTTTTTCTAGGAATTCAGAAGGGACGTTAGGCACTTTTTGTGGATAAGTTTGAGCACGGTTTCGGCACGCAATTAGGTGCTGTATTGCTGTGGCGAAGGGTCCCTTCTGGAGGGCTGATGCTTGCAGCTTGGAGCCACCAAACAACAGCTGCAGGAGACAGAAAAAGAGATATTTTTTCTAGGAATTCAGAAGCGACGTTAGGCACTTTTTGTGGATAAGATTGAGCACGGCTTCGGCACGCAATTAGGTGCTGTTTTGCTGTGGCGAAGGGTCCCTTCTGGAGGGCTGATGCTTGCAGCTTGGAGCCACCAAACAACAGCTGCAGGAGACAGAAAAAGAAATATTTTTTCTAGGAATTCAGAAGGGACGTTAGGCACTTTTTGTGGATAAGTTTGAGCACGGTTTCGGCACGCAATTAGGTGCTGTTTTGCCGTGGCGAAGGGTCCGTTCTGGAGGGCTGATGCTTGCAGCTTGGAGCCACCAAACAAGAGCTGCAGGAGACAGAAAAAGATGAAAAAGATATTTTTTCTAGGCATTCAGAAGGGACGTTAGGCAGTTTTTGTGGATAAGTTTGAGCACGGTTTCGGCACGCAGGTAGGTGCTGCTTTGCTGGGCCGACACAAGGGGGAGCGTAAGGGAAAAAGAAGTACTACACTGCTATTACTACCGCCTAGTATCCAGGAGCCAGCAGCCAGCTAGCCAGCAGTTAGTAAGCAGCAGCCAGGAGCCAGCAGCCAGCTAGCCAGCAGTCATTAAGCAGTAGAGTTTTAATCCAATTCGCGTTGCTTCCTTGCCGATTCTTCCGGGGTCGGCGGCAGGGGCGGCAGGGGCGGCAGCCCTTAAGTATTTTCCAAAGCATTCTTACTTCTTTCCTCTGGACCGCACAGCTTCCAAACACGCGAAACTTCGTGCAAAACAATGAAAAATGTTAAAACCAAAATTTTGAAAACCTAAAAACTTATAATATAAGTTATAATAGCTTATTTGAACTTATCGAAGTTCTGGAACATGGTTGTTTTCAAGGAAAACATAAGTTCCATAACTTCGATAAGTTCATGTATATGTGCTACAGCTGCTATAACTACCACAACTTACTTATAACTTCAGCAAGCACAAACGCGCAATACAGTATGGCGACCGGCTAAGCCAAGAACCGGACAAATTATTTTATTTATATATTTGGAATCTATGTGGCCTTGTGGAATCTGGTTTTGTCTACGATCGACGCCTTCGGGAAACCTTCAATTTATTCGCATTTTACATCGAAGAGATCTACCTTAGGTCAATGCTACTATAATCTAATTGCACGTGAGGGGATTCAGTTCCTGATGGGTCACTTAAAAGATCCAATTTTGTCTAGTGTGTGTGTGTAACATCTGAATAGATGTAAAACCTCTCCTTTTTTCTTTTTCTTTTCTTCCGGCAGGGGGGCAGTGAATCTCATTCCACCCACTGCCCAGCGAAGACGGTGGTTTGAGATTGTGATATCGGGACTGATCATCCCGACGTACCTGCGGAATTTTCCATGGCAAGGGGCTAAGCCGAGAACCCCAACAACATTTCTAATCTAATTGCACCTGAGGGGACTCAGTTCCCAACCGATCACTTAAAAGATCCACTCTTGTCTAGTGTGATTCCATGGTGACTCCGACATGTTGCCATGGACCCACTTGAGGGCCTTTCCTACGGCGAATGATGACTGAACCATTCCTGATTTCACACATTTTAACCTGGTAATTGTAATTCGTTTACGTAAAGCGAGACAGAGTCGGCCTTTTCGTTTTTCAGCCTTTTCTGCGATGTCCCGCTGTTCCTGTCGTCCCTTGAGAACCTTTTGATTCTGCTTCTTCGCTGATGAGAAATTTGCGGAACTGCTGAAACCTCGTCTTAGTTGTTGCTCAAGCTTCAGCCGCTACATGCTACGTGAAGAACTCTTCAGGCAGGTCCATGCTTGCAGGTTTGGTGTTTCCTTCGTTTTTGGTTTTCTGGTGAGGTTGAACATGTTGTGCACCCAATTCGTTGGAATTTGAACAGCTGTTTATGCCCATGCGGCTTGACTTGACCACGTTCCCGGCCGGGAGCAACGCACGACTCTTTAGGATAGAAGTGAGTCCCCCTTTAATAATTTTGTTGTTTCTCCTCTTGCCTTTTTCAGGGTTGACCCGCTTCCGGCCGGGTGTGTGTGTGTAACATCTGAATAGACATAAAACCTCTCCTTTTTTTCTTCTTCTTTTCTTCCGGCAGGGGGGCAGTGAATCTCATTCCATCCACTGCCCAACGAAGACGGTGGTTTGAGATTGTGATATCGGGACTGGTCATCCCGACGTATCTACAGAATTTTCCATGGCAAGGGGCTAAGCCGAGAACCCCAACAACATTTCTAATCTAATTGCACCTGGAGGTACCAACCTGGGGTTTGGGCGTATGTTTTACACCCAGATCCAAAATAAACACCCTTGGGCGTATGTTGTGTGCCAGAAACACCCTGGGGCGTTTCATGCGGGCCTTTGCCCAAACGTGGGTGCCAGAAACACCCTGGGGCGTATCATGCGCGCATTTACCTAAACGAGAAACACCCTTGGGCGGTTCACGCGTGCATTTGCCTAAACGTGGGCGTTTAACTTGTCGTCCAAAAATTGCAGCTGAAACCAGAAAATACAAGTTATCAGCCGTACATGACATGGGCCATGGGCAAGTTATCGGAAAAATGTGAAAATCTAAATGTCTCCAATCTCTCATGCTATCATCTATTTATGTCTCTCTATCCTTACCCCTTATCTGTCTATCATCTTCCCACATATACGTACAGCTATAAAAAGAAAAACATAAAAATGTGATTGCGCGAACGACATTGTAAAAAAACCGTCATCATCTGTTCACGAGAAAATGCCGTCATGACAAATTGAAGAAAAACATGCACGACAAACTTCGAGATTGAATATGGGTCCACTATTAGATTTAGAAATCTGTACGGAACCAAATCTGGTGACAAAACAATTGCACAAAAAAAATGTCGAACAATCTGCAAGAAAAAATCATATGACCATTGAAGATGTCATACACACAGCTGCATGTCACAATCCCAAAAATCCTTTGGCATGTTTTCTCAGCTGCCATCACGCTTCGCAAGTTTAATCGCTCTCCATAGCAACGCCCGTTTCAAAACATAGCGTCGTGCCCATGTCAGCATGTATGTTCCGCCGTGGCATCCTTGGCAAATACAACGCACCTTTCCCATAAAATCTTCGTCACCAAAGGTCGATAAATGCATCAAACAAATCTCTGTCTCCTCAAAGACATCAATCATGTGGCAGAAGTAGTGGGTTTTGGGGCGGATTTTGTAGAGGAGACGACGTTCAGTCAAACATTGAGCAGCAAGCCACTGGTACGATGCAGAATGTAGCCTGCAAAGCCATGTGACTTCTTCCACCGTCGGCGTTGGCATGACAACTTCATCGTTCATATTCCATGAACTAAGGGCAACGTCCAGCGACCAACAACACACTGCACGCATTTTGCCATGCAGCTTTTTGGCAGCCGTATCCAAAGCACATGAATCAACCAGCTTTACCATAACCCAAGCGGTGAATGCAAAAAGTGCTCTTGTCCGGGCAGCCTTAATGCGGGTGTCCAGGGCAGGCATGGGCCAATGGCGGTACTTCGGCCGGCCAAGTCTTGCCATTGTAAGGGTTCCAATGCCGAGCTGCATGTTTTGATCTGTAGCCCATGCCGCTGCTAGATGGCTGAAAGCATGCAGGGTATCATCCCAACTTCTGCCAGTCATTCCAAAAAACATTTGAAGTGATCCATCTTCCAATGAACTGATTATGGCCGCAGGAATGAGATCTCGCAAAGTTCCCAAATGCACAATGTGCAGAAGGTCAAACAAGCGTAGCTTCTTCTCAAATCCCGGAACTTGTGTCCATGGGGATCTGTCATGTGGATCTGAAGGTGTAAGAGTACTCCGCCACAACGATCTCAGAGTCAAATCTCCCCAGCTGAGTTCTGGTGATCTTCTGTCCGTGGTTGCCAAGCAAAAATCACAGCATTGCGCGCATCTGTAATACCGTTGAGTCTGGGTAAGAAGGTGGGCGTACGCATGAGCTTCCATGTCACCTTTCCAGAAGCAGAAAGCCTCAGCAAGCATGCTGCAGCAGTGACTGTGGGGTATGGATGATATCATACAGATTGACCCCCTTGGCTTTGTCATGTTTTATGGACAATTAACCCATACACCCACTAATGCATGTTTGTTTTTTAAAAGCATCTATGAGGCTTGCGCCCCCTTCATCATGGGAGTTGCATGACATGTCATGAAAACCGACATGGTTGAACTTTTTTGTCATACGCGACATGTGCTATATATGGCATTTGTTATATGCCTCATGAAAACGTCTGAAGATTGAACTTGTGCCAACTCGTTGGGTGGTTCCCCGATCATCTTGAAAAGCCTAGCCACTGCTTTCATTGAAAATTTCTCTCCCGCCAGCTTTTCCCGTTTCGAACCAAGTGGATGAAATCGTCCAGTGTGATTGACGACGTCATAGACTCCAGCTTCCAATTGTTTCATGTCCCAAGCCACAATCTTGCAAATCTCGCGCCTAGTCTCTTCAGTTACCTGCGAAGTGCCCATGATGGCGATAGCGTGTCTGCTTTTCCAGGAATCATTCCGGAGACATCCAGTGCTCCAGCTCCAAACCGTAGCGGTGCTGCCTCGCATAAAACAAGTCAGCTGTTGTTGTCATGATATGTTGCCGTGCTATCCCAAAAACTTCTCAGCTGATGCATGCATGCCCAGATGCCTGAAAAATGAGGAACTCCATCTTCATGTATGATGATTGGAATGCATGATGCCATGTGGTCACGTCCAGACGCACGCCAAAGTTTGCCAAAATCATCATGTGACCCCAAGCATTCGGCCATTGCCTCAGCGAAAAAAGGTAAGTCGGCAATTCAAAACATGGAAAAACAAAATGGAAAAAATGGAAAAACAAAATTCAAAACATGATGCATGTGTGCATTGCAAATGCTGGTGGCAAGACGCATCAGGCCCTTGATCATATAGAGCTTGTAAGTGGTCACTCGGCAGAACCACTGATATGCTGGCATTGCCACGACCATTTAACTGCGAACTCTTGCTGGCATCTGTTCTCACTGGGACCTCACATTTGTAGATGGGAATTGGCAGCTTCAGCCAACGAAAGAAGTCCCGCTCACGTGAGGCAACGAACTGTTTCGCACTCACCTGACATACACACACACATGAATCTCGGAAAAGACTGTTTGGGTTTGATTGCTGTCATGCACAGGCTATAAACCAAGTATAAAAAGTTGCAGCAAATCAAGGGCCAGCCTTCACACTCCCATCTTGAACAAAATCGCTAGCACAAGCAGCAGCACCACTCACAGAAAGTTTTCCCTCAGCAACCCGTTCAGCCATTCTGCAAACTAAAGCGCTGTCAATCTCATCCACAGTCCTAAGCTGAATACCAAAACACACCAACAGATGCAGCACTCTTCCATGAAACATGTGTCATGTGTTATGCACATCTCATCTGATGATGCCATGCATGAATGCTGCAGTGGGCAAGAATCATTTTTTTCCGGTACTTGTCGGGAAACTCAGGGTTTTCGTCAACATCAGGCCTGCGCGGGACTGCATGGCAGCACTCCAAAAATGCACAAGTGGCTGTGTAACATGTCTGACGCAATTGGGCGTCGCAACTGCTTTTATCTAATCCGAATTCAAATACAAAATGACACCATTTTCTTCTCCGCAGCGCTCCCGACACATCATGTATGGCCGTATGCCAAGCTAAGCAGACTTGGTTGTGTCACTTGCCCCAACGTTTGTAAGAATGAAATTGCACACCCATGGCTCATCCCGGGCTGTCAGGCTCGGGTTCTCAGAGCCGCCCCGGCAATTAAATCCAAACATCGCCAGCGCACTGACATGCCCTGCAAGCAGAAAAAAGCCTATGATCGCCAATGGTGTCGTCCACCATCTGTCAAGCATTCCTGTATATATACAGTGTGTAAGTATTTCTGGTAGACATCTGCAGAGCTGCAAGTTTCTTTATCTTCAGGGTTCTTCAAACTTTCAACAAAACTGCCATGGATCCACCATCAGGCAATCGTCGGCCTAGGCTTTTGACTTTGCCTTGGCCTTGGCTTTGCTAGCTGGTTTTTTATTTTGCTGCCTCGCTATGGCATTACCGGCCGCGTAGGGCTTCTCAAACTGCTTCTGGAGGCAAATGAACTCTTTCACATGTGGGATGTAGTCATCCTCCTGCATGAAGCCAGAAGGCAAACCACAATGCCAAGCGATTGCATTTTCCCAAGGGCAGGAATAATCTCCATCCATGTGAATCATTGGCATGGAAATGAAAGGTTACAAAAATCCCAGGGTCAAAATTTGGTCCACGAGAAGGTAAACACCGCTGGCCGCAATCATGTTAATCTGTCCTCATTGTTCTGGGCGTTCACAAGGGCCTGCGTCTTCAGGTAGAGATCCCTGAGCGGGCCATGCAAAATTTATGTCGCAAGGGGTGCATCGATGAAAACATGTCAGACCATGCTTGCTCAGCCCAAAACAATGCAAACGTACAAGCTTAACATATATATATATATATACTCATATTATACATATACATATCTATGAAAAGTAAATCGGGAATATATATATGTATATATCGCATTAGGATGCATTGGGTGCATCTCGAGACCATGCATGGTTGTCAAAAAATGGCTGCCAAGGCACTCAAACTTCTTTGCGAATGCAGTCATCTCTGAGCTCAAAGCATCCGCATATGGAATTGACTGCAAAGTCAAGCCAAGATTGCTCGCATCGGACTTTCGTTTCAAACATTTGCCGCACATGTCTTTGGCCTTTTGCAAGGGCGTCAGGGGAAGCTGCTCTTCCGGGGTCTTTTTCCTGGGTTGCTTCTTGGGAGGTTCCTCCGCACGCGGAGTGCCAGGGGCTGACGCTGGTGTTGTTGGGCTCGTAGTGCTGCTGTCCGACGGGGCCGGCCTCTTGGCCGTAGTCTTTGGTGGGCCCATCCTTGCAAACACAGTCAAAACATCACAACCAATTACATGCACAGATTCCACACATGAAATCATCTGACTCTTGCACAGTGGTAAATTCCAGTTCTCATGTAACAGCAAAACAGCTCATGCCCATATGCTAAATAATTCCACTTAGTGTCATGACCTCTGCAACCTCAGCGACATTGGCCGGGGTCACCTGAACTCTGCCAGTGCTCATCATAGTACCTCAAGATGAAAAACCATTCGGCACAAAAACAGTTTCATTGCCAATGAAATTTGACTGTGCCAGCTTAAATTGCCGACAGAATGTTCATGGAAAAAATGCGCAGCACATCCCAGCCTGATCTGTTGTAGTTGTCCTCCTCATCCTCACGCTGGGCAATGAGGTACACAATGCCGTCTGGGTTGTTCTCATCTTCCTCAATCATCCCAATGGACTCCTTAAACTTCATGACTTTGTCGGCATCTTGTCCATAAGAATCCTCCATCTGCTTCTTGTAAAACGCAGAGCTTTCTTCTTGGCTGAGAAAACCCGACCAACTTCCTCCTGCTGCTGCAAGTTCACCTGAACTTGCTCCAGGTTGCCACCATTTTCACACAGCATGGAAATCAAATCGTTCTTCTTCTCTTCCTCAAAAACCATCTTGCGAAGTGATGGCAGGCCATCCAACCTGGAAGGATTCTTCTTGAGCCTTGCAAGCAAATTTGCAGCTGCTCGGCGGCTGTACTCTGCATCCATGGGCTGTGGCTTGGAGCTTTGCACTGGCAAAGGCTGGCGCACAACCGGCTCCAACTTGACAACAGCTGCAGGCTGAGGGCGGGCAGGAAGTGCCTGATTGGGGCCTGTCTGCGAATGCAAATCTGGCGGAAGTTGAAAAACTTGACTCTTCTGCCGACGCAACATATTTGCATTGTCTGCTGAACCATCAACATGCTCCGCAGCTGATGTGCCATGAGGGCTGGCCTGAGGTCGACATGACTTGCCAGTCAGCCAACCCATAGCTTGCAAGTCTTTGTCAGCTTGCTCTCGTTCTTTTGCTTCTGCCGCTGCCACCTCTGGCTGCTGTGTCTTTTGCTGCTGGCTTTGCTGAGGGACTGCTGGCTGAGCAGCCACTGCAGGTGCTCGAGGCTGTGCACGTTCTGGTGCTACATTTGCCAAAGTCTGCACGGGGGCTGCTGGCTGTGGAGGCTGCTCAGGTTGGTTAACCATCTGATTCGCCATGGGCACTGCAGGGACAGGCAAAGGCTGCACAGGTTGGACCACTGCTGGCTGTGGAGGCTGCTCAGGTTGGTTAACCATCTGATTCGCCATGGGCACTGCCGGGACAGGCAAAGGCTGCAGAGGTTGGACCACTGCTGGCTGTGGAGGCTGCTCGGGTTGGGTAACCATCTGATTCGCCATGGGCACTGCAGGGGCAGGCAAAGGCTGCACAGGTTGGACCACTGCTGCCTGCGGAGGCTGCTCAGGTTGGGTAACCATCTTCGCCATGGGCACTGCAGGGACAGGCAAAGGCTGCCTAGGTTGGACCACTGCTGGCTGTGGAGGCTGCTCAGGTTGGTCAACCATCTGATTCGCCATGGGCACTGCAGGGACAGGCAAAGGCTGCAGAGGTTGGACCACTGCTGGCTGTGGAGGCTGCTCAGGTTGGTTAACCATCTGATTCGCCATGGGCACTGCAGGGACAGGCAAAGGCTGCAGAGGTTGGACCACTGCTGGCTGTGGAGGCTGCTCAGGAACCATCTGATTCGCCATGGGCACTGCAGGGACAGGCAAAGGCTGCACAGGTTGGACCACTGCTGCTGCTCAGGTTGGGTAACCATCTTGATTCGCCATGGGCACTGCAGGGACAGGCAAAGGCTGCAGAGGTTGGACCACTGCTGGCTGTGGAGGCTGCTCAGGTTGGGTAACCATCTGATTCGCCATGGGCACTGCAGGGACAGGCAAAGGCTGCACTGGTTGGACCACTGGAACTGCAGGCTGTGGGACAACCAAACTCTGCACGGGTTGGCTAGGCATCGGGCTCGGTTGTGTCACAGGAGTCACTGGCGGGGCGATCTGCTGCACAACATGGGCCTGGGCAACTTGACCTGTCTGCACAGGCTGAGGTTCATGAACATCCTGAGGAACCACGGGCTGGGCAAGCATGGGACCTGCAGCATCGGGTGAAGAGTCCACAGTCGAGGCTTCCATCTCCATAGGCAATGTGTCCAGAGTGCACATGTCGACCTGCGAGCACATCAGTGGATTCAACCCAATCAAAGAAAAACAAACGATCATGCACATGTTATTTGCAACATCGAAGGTCAACATGTAAAACTTAGTGTTTTCCAATACCATTGGATTGAAACATCATGCGTCAATACAATGTCAAAACAACATGCACCCTGCTTTATAATCCATTTAAATTTCAAACGGTCAAAACACACCATAAAACAATATTATACACACCTATGGGGTTCATTTTTTACTAGTTTCCAGCCTGCGTTTCTCCAAAAGTGGCCATGCTTGGCTGCGTGTCACCCAATGGCATGGCTTGCAAGGGCATCGACAAGTTCAGACGTTTCCTTGGCAAACGGTTCACAAACAATGGCTATGCATTCATCCATGTCACACAGCACATTCAGGCATCTGCGAAGTTCATCTAATCTCAAGCCGGTTTCACCTTCATGGACTCTTGTACTATATACTTGTCTTCTAAACCTTTTAAACGACACGCATATACTGGATGAAATGCGTGGCAGCACACACTCAGAGCCAAACCCATCAACATGCATCTGCACATCTGGAACGCTGGACTGGCTTGCGTGGACAGCACCTTGCACGGTGAACGCACGCCCCAACACTGATGAGTAGGGATCCTGAGTTCCCTATGAAAACACAGTTGCATTTTTTTATGTCACAGGAAAACGATTCAAACACGTTGTGCATGTGATTCGCCTGGGGTTGCCGCATCCATGGCTTCACGAACAAAGCCAACCATGTACGGGTCGGTTGACTGAGGGGCCACAAAGGGGACCTCTTCCTTTACAGCCATGACCCTAAAGAACACTTGAACGTGCAAATGCAACGTACTCCCAAAACCAAATCTGCCAAACAGGAATCCAAGGAACATGACATGTGAAGACAATTCGAGGTCACGGTTGGTCACGGGTTGGTCACGGGTCGGTTCGGGTCTTTTCCCTTTCATTTCAATTGGGGCGTTTCTTGCAGGTCACGGTTGGTCACGGGTTGGTCACGGGTCGGTTCGGGTCTTTTCCCTTTCATTTCAATTGGGGCGTTTCTTGCAGGTCACGGTTGGTCACGGGTTGGTCACGGGTCGGTTCGGGTCTTTCCCCTTTCATTTCAATTGGGGCGTTTCTCACAGGTCACGGTTGGTCACGGGTTGGTCACGGGGTCCCGGGCTAATTTTCAAACAAAATATGTTGCAAACTGTTTTATCCATGTATTTTGGATTGTTTGCGAAAGTTCATGAAGTTCATGAGTGGAATGGCACCAAAACAAAAACCATGTAGTTGCAGGCTACACACATTCAAAGCATGGTACTAGGCTATATATGATGAATTCAAAAGAGGCCGGAGCCCCATGTAAGAAGATCATGCATGCATGACATGTGAAAAAAGCCGGATCCCCATGTAAAAAGATCACAATTCATTGAACAAAAGAAACAATGCCATCACTCACGTCCACTGTCAGAGTCCACTGTGTCCGGTTGTTGTCTCACCGTCTCACCTTTTTTCCCCCAAAGTTGGTCGCACTTGCAAGACAAATGTTATTAAAGGTAAATTGTGCAGGTCTCACATTTGAGAGCCATGTGAACGTCTAAGATCTTCCAAAGCCTCTACCAGCATCGCCTCTGAGAAATCAAAGTGCTTGAGTCTGGAGTACATTGCAATGCGCTCCTCCGATGGTAAAGCAACAAGTTTAGAACACTTCTGTGGATTCGCATATATGCATTCAGTATAGTTCACTAAAGAGATGTAGGTTGCCTCAAATTGCGGGCCTCAGCCAGGTTGACTGACACTGAATGCTAATTGAGCAAAAAAACTTGTGCAATGGACTTTGGTTTTCAAATCTGCTTCAACTCAATTGGAACATGTTGTGAGGGCCACAAAGCCTGAAACGGGGCTGTCCTTGATTGCATCTGCTGACAGATCGGCGCTTTGAACAAGACACCATCGCCTCCTCTCCCTCCTGATGCAAACGATGCATTGCCTTTGAATTTCTGTTCCACCAAAGACATGCGAACATGCGACTAGACTGTCCAAAAAAAACGCATGAAGCAACATTGTCAGCTTGCAAGGCAAACGAACCAGTCCCGGCAGACACAGGACCATGTGCTCTCCACCAGGCAGCTATTGCTCTACCGAACTCAGCAGTGTAGAGTTGGGTCTGCTTAAGACCAGGGCCACCTGCAACCTTCTTCTTCCCATTGGCATCTGTATACCTGGGCAACATGAGAAAGAATTGACCCAATGGGTCCCTTTTGGATGGTGTTTACAATCTCAGATTTCCGTAGATTTCCCATATGAAACCAAATTTTGTGTTAGTTATGATATAACTTTATAACGAAAAACAATCATTTAACCATGGAACTGGTAGGTAACTGCAGCATCAACTTGAGGTCGCTCGTCTGGTGGAGGTACTCTCATATTCATCAAATCTTCGAGGGATTCTGTTGAATACAAAGCAGTGGGCTTTAGAGTTGCTGCTTTGAAGCATGCCATGAAAAGCTGATTCAATTTCAGTCTCTGCCCCTTCCATCCCCGTTCTTCCGCTTCATGAAAATATGCAATCACGCTCTGCCATGATGGCAAAGCAACCATCACTGATCGGAGCGGTTGCTCCAAGGAAGGTACTCCACCTACCGCCCAGGCCAGCAATGCAAGAACGGCGGATCTGCCGGCCAAGATGTTTCCAAGTTGCACGTAACTCAAATGTGGTCTCCAACCCATCGGAAAGGCTATGGACCTGGTGTGGGTTCCAGAATTCATATAATTGAAACTTGTGCAAACGGTGCCCACGTGGCAAAGACCACCGCAAGACAGAGACAGGATGGCCATCACAGCGCTGACCAGCCCCATAGTGCTCGTCAAATCATGTGTTTGACTTCCTTAGCAATGTTATAAGCTTTGACCGATATGCACCGAACAAACGCTTCAGTTTTTAAGTTTCACAAGTCACCAATGAAAACATTCATCTGAACAATGGAATTCGACGAGCTTCTGAGAACATCAAAAGCGAGGGCGGTGAAACCCAATTCAGAAAACGCTTTTGCAATCTGCGATGAACTCTCGGAGCCTGCAAATAATTCGATGCACATCACATGGGGAGGAACCTCAAAGTCTGCAGCGCGTCTGCAAACCATGGCCCATATCACAAGTTCAATCAGGACCCAAGGCAGCTCAAGTTGGGTCAAGCCATAGACATCACGGAGTTCCTGGAACGACAACGTTCCGAGCAGCACAGAAAGCAGCTGAAGCTGAATCATCATGGCACTGGCACGCAGCTGTCAAAAACAGAAAAACACATGTTTTGGTCTCATGTTAGACATGCCGTTAAGTTTGACAAGATCATGAGATCATATGACATTCTTGGTTGTTTTGCACATCTCCATGTATCTTGCTTTCGTGCAATTCGTCACAGCCATAAGGAACTGCGCAAAAACATCGAAAATGCATTGCAGCTTTGTCAGCAAACTGTCTGAAGCATGAGCATCATCCACTTCAGATTTACACGTTGCAAGGGGAGAGGTGGCACCTGGAGTCTGCACTCGATGGAGCTGAGGGTGCTCCCTGTGTGGCCCGTCCTGCCAAGCAAACATCTGGAAGCATATGTGCCATGACCAAAACGAAGCTGTGTGCATTGCAAAACATTTTCATGTCCAGCAAATCTGCATGCCTGATGGGCCGAAAACATCAAGAAAACTTTTTCCCCTGCTGGTCCGTCTCAGTTGATTTTCAAACGGCTTTGCGACTAAACATCAAAAGCCTTAGGCTCCCTTGTAAGTATTCAAGTCCACTTTGACATCGTCAAGAGTCTTCTTGCCTTGATTCAACTCTGACACCAGCTTGTTTACAATGCTTTCGCATTCTGCCTGGGTGTTGCTGCTGAGCTGAGCAACCTGCCTTCCAGTTGCATTATCATGGATTGCACAGACCATGAACTGACCGTTCTGACCCTTGCGCTTGTGTTTCTTCATCAAAAACTTTGCCTTCTCCTTTTGTTCCTTCTCACTGGTGTTTGTTTTTGCTTTCTTCTTACACTCAGCTTTCGGTTTCAAGTCCTTGCCCAACCGCTTCTGTCCTCAGAACGTTTTCATGATGATAACAATCCAAACTTGGTGCCATGGCTGATATACACTGAGATCAGGTCCGGTTGGATGCGCAGAAGGGGTATCACCTTCAAGAATTTCTGCAGCCTCCTGCATTTCAACGCTTTTCAATTTCAAATACTGCCATTGGTTGCCAATAAAAAGCATGATCAGTGACCCGAGTAAGTCCTTAACGCAATCGGGCTCTGGAGTGACAGCCGCTGCAGCCACCAGAGCGGTGGCATGTGGCCGAGGGCCAACCTAGAGGGGTATAGATGTCATCCAAACCCTTTGAAACCTGCCAAAACGAGGATAGATATGATTATATATATATATATATATATATTATATATATATATTAGCTAAACCCAAAAGGTCGCTGCGGCCTGTTTTTGAAGTTATTTAGACGTATTGAACGTGGGGGGGCGTACGGCCATCTGAGCGAGGGTACGGCGGGCGAACGGGGGGGGAACGGGGGGGCGAACGGGGGGACGAACCGGGGGGCGAACGGGGGGGCGAACGCACACATGCACACACGTACGCACATACGTACGCACAGACGTACGCACGTACGTTCGCACGTATGCACGTACGTAGGTACCATGTTCAGACCCATGTTCAAGCCCATGTTCAGACCCATGTTCAGAAATAAGGTTACCTTTGAAAAGTGACCTCCTAATACTAAATATGCTTTAGGAGGCTTAGGGTCGTACAGAAATAAGGTTACCTTTTATATAAAAGGTAACCTTAAAGGTAACCTTATTTCTGAGCATGCATGTGAACGTGCGTGCGTACATGCACATGAACGTGCGTGCGTGCATGCGTACGTACGTGCGTACATGCGTATGTGCGACCCCTTCGTGCGACCCCTTAATGCGCCCTCAAGGGGGTGGGCCCGCCCTCAAAATTGCACGGGTTTCGAATACCAACAACTTTGTACCAGTATTCTTGGGTTGTAAAAGTAGGTGTAAAATAATTTCGGCACAGGTTGACTGTACTAATTATCACCAGGCAAAACAAGACTAGTCGAATCGTTCGCCCGTCCGCTCGCCCCCCCGCTCGCTCGTGCGGGCGACGTTCGTCCACCCGTTCGCCCGCATGTTCGCCCCTACATTCGCCCCCCCGCCAACTCTTCGTGCGGTTTTCAACATATCCACGGCAGCGAGTTTTTGAGTTTAGCTAATATATATATATATATATGTATGTATGTATCTACATATTTATTTGTTTATTCATTGAGCTGCTCTGAAACGAGGTCTGTTTTGAGGACGAAAAAGAAACTTGGGCATCTCAACAGCAATTTAAACTTTCATGAACATGGGTCCATGACAAGATTTGGATGCTTGCCAGAAAACTGCTGGATCCTTTCCATCAACACCGTTCTCCTTCGCAGGAGGCTTGCCTCCCAAAACCACAAATCAAACCAGGCATGCAAATGCATCAGACACATACAAAATTTAATCTTGGTGCCATGACCCTCTGCGAAACCCTTGCTATGGCCTGCAAGCTCTTCGTCCAAAATTTCAACCACTTTGCCTTGCAACTCACGCACGATCTTCTGCCGCATCTGGGATGCTGTCTCCTGCATCAATCGGGCAGCAATGGTTCTTCTACTGCGTGAATCTTCAAGCAAGGCTGCCAAACATCTTAAACTGAAAAGCTGCCCAATCCTGCAAAACAACAGGTTGGGAAGATGGACTCTCTGACTGCATGCCCTGCGCACATGCCTCCGGATCCTGAGCAGGAATGAAAAATATTTGCATGCAAGGACTCACATACACTGCGACAAATTTGTGCTTGTCAACTGTCCAAGCTCAAATGATTTAATTGAGACTCAATGCCCCATGCTTTGCCAATGTCATCTTCTGCAAACGGTTTCATGATCTCGAAGAGCTCTAAGACATGGGGTTCCGATCGAACCCACAACGGCCAACTCTCGTCCTTCTTAAAGGATTCACGGGCCTTTCTCCACGTCTTCCTAGCAAACCTGAGAAATGAAAGGATTCTGGGTTGCATATGGGGTGAATGCTGAACATTCGTTCAAAGATGATTCCCTTTTCTCAAGTAGCTGAGATACTGCATCAAAACTTTCAAATCGTACACCATCAACCAAACCTTTCCGTCTGGCTCGCTCTGGCCGACTGTCTTGCGAAGGGTCGCAAACAGGGAGTCATTGTGAATTGGCATGGAGGGCGAGGCCAAGGCCAAAGGCTTCAAAGCCCAAACGAAATCACTGAGGCATTCTTTTGCGAGGCTCTTGCCTTGGGTTCAAAATCTTGGAGTAACAGGCGTTGCGGTTCAAAATCTTGGGGTATAACAGCATTGCAGTTCAAAATCTTGGAGTAACAGACATTGCGGTTCAAAATCTTGGGCAAATAAAAAGCAGCATGACACATGCCCGATCTGAGGCTGGGCACTCTTGCAAGCGTACTCATTGAAAATCTTTTCCGGGGCAGCCTCAAGGGCACCTGAAACTTTCTCTGGCATGATTTCTTTCATCTGCGTACACACTTGGTCGACTTGGCCCTGCTCGAGAGCCAGCTCTACAGTCCCTTTTTGCCGACCCATTGCCACAGTTTAAGCAATGTCGGCTAGATCCATGCATGCTGCGGGCTGACATGAAGCATGCAAAGAGGTTCCATTGCATGGCCATTCACAAACTAATTTTCTACAGTTGTAAAACGTTGCAAAACATTGCAAAACTATTTCGAACTCCACAGAAATCAAAGCTTAATGAGTCCTTGTAGCAAGAGCCGTCTGCGCTTTGACATTCACTGAGTGCTCACATCCTGCGTGCTCAACTTGAAACCAGCTTGAGAAATTCAATGTTTTGAGTCCTTCCTGGCATCTCTTCCGAAGACTTGCTCATTGCAACCAAATGATGAAATGAAATTGCAATCTGCCTCGCATATGAAGGGCAGGTTTGCGAACCTGGCATTGAAAAGCGTGGCAGCTCATTCAAAATGAGTTTTGACTTCACGTATTTCAAACCGCTTGCAGCTTCCAAACATCAAACCATACTTCGTGATTGTTGAACACAAACCCGAAACTTTTTTGTCAGCAATTCCATCTTCTGCCCCTCTGCGCTTGGCACAACCCAAGGCAAGAACAAAAATCTATTGGCATGACACTTCAAATCACTTTGTCCGAGGCCTCTTAGCCACGAGTCCATCTGCATGGTCAGCATCCCATTCGGATGGGAATTCAACTAACTGTTCATTGGATTCAGGCTCTATGCCTTCGTCCAAAAGTCCACCACCGTCTTCATCATGTCGAACGCACGTGGCCCCATCATCCTCGATCAGGAATTGAAAGAATTCTTCAATATCATCGTCTGGAACTTCAGTGGCAGGGTGTTCCACACACGTTTCAGGAACCAGCGTCGTTGCTTCCTCCACCCATGTTGCATCACCATCCTCATCAGGACCAACAGTGACAGTGCGAACTGAAAAGGCTCCAACGGGGCGCGCTTCACTCCCTGCGAACTCCGCCTCGCCAAACTTCGTCTGCATGGCCTTGCTGCCAATTCCAGCACTCTGCAATTTCGGAGGAGCTGCGCCTCCTGTCAACTTCTGGTTGAAGAGGGCGGTAACTGCCTCTGAGTTGGCATTACCAACCATTTCCTGGCAGGGAAGAAAACAACAGTGCCAGCGCAAACCCAACTCAATTTGAACACAGGGAAATGTCTCCCGAGCCGACGGGGCACCCTTGAAAAACAAAAGTGTTTGCGATATACATCCCTTAAAAAAAAAATGAGCCAAAATATTTTCTTTGGCCCCGGGCAGGCCTGTTGCAAGGCTTGAACTGCCTTCAGACTGCGCTTGGCTGCCTTGGCATAGTTGCGGGCAACCCGTTGGGCTTCATACGCCTCGGCCAACATCGCATAGGCCATCTCCTGCACGTGGAGGTATAAAGATGAAACCGTGGAAACGCATGAAGAAATCAAAGGAAACTAGGCCAATTCAATGATCAGAACTCATGTTGGATTCAAAGCGACGAGAAATGGTAATTATATTTTGTGCGATGTAAAGTGTCACATATATATATATAGAAATCAGTCTAACAAATTCCTCAGCCTGTGCATGCAACGACTTCACACAAAACTGCTATATAAGTATACATCATCTGCTTCTGTGCTTTTATTCGGTTTTAAAACTAAACGCCCACTTCCACTTTGCGCCTGGTTAACCCCGCTACTGGAGCTGCTACTGGAGCTTGAGGTCGCAGGCGTCCATGGTACCTCAATGTCAAAAACGTGAGAGCAACAAATCTCGCAGGTGTCCCTTAAACTTCATCAGGGACAAAAATAAAAAATTGGCATCACAACTTGAGCAGGAATGCATCTGGCACTTCCACGGCAGGTGGAGGCTTGTTTATGCCACGCTCTGCCCATGGGCACTTCGGCGGGGACGGCGGCCTAGGGCGCCTCTTAGGCAATATTTTTGGGGCCATCTTCAGTATGACCATATGGGCAACAACGTCTGCGGTTAGCGATGGATAAATATCAAAAGACATGGCTTTAAAACTGCGGAAAATGCTCAACTCGAGAGTTCCAGGAGTGCAAACATGCCAGACAGGCGGGCTCAGAAAGTCGAGCTTTGCACTTCTGCAGTTTTCGGCCCTCGTCCTGGCCTGCAACGAAAATGTGCAGAACAGTAGTAAACAATCTGTGGCCGCAAAATGATTCATGTATGTATGTATGTATGTATGTACGTATGCATATGAACTGAAACATATGCAAGCCTGCATGAGCATTTCACGGCCATGGCTGATCCCATCGACAGGCGTTTCAAATTGAAAGCAGAAAAATGTGTTTGATTGGCTCTCTTTGTACATGTTTAAGGTGACATGCAGGGAAAGTAAATGGGCAGAATTGGTGTCTGAGCCACGGGCATGCAGTTCATAATCACATTGCCTTTGGTTCGTGTTTTCCAAAAAAGAGCTTATACATCTGCGGGGCTGAAACCCGATTTTTGCACATGTCATGGCATGAACCGTGCATGTTTTATAAATGAGGCCGAAGCCCCTTTGTAAGGAATGACATGCATGCATGCACGTGCCCCGTGAAATCGTGAAAGCATGTTTTGAGGAAAAAACATGAAAAAACCATGAACCCCATTCCAACCCTCGTTTCGGATTTGTGAATTCAAGAAAACATTGGCTTGCGATTTGTTGGTTTTCGGTTTTGACGCTAAAAAAATGCTACTGATCAAATCCAAGCTGTATATAAGGTAGTCATAATCAAACCTCCCCGGCAACGCGCGCAAAGAAAATCAAAACACGATCAAACATGACCTGTACGCATGTTCTACAGCACGGAAATATGTCAAATCATCCATTCCTGGATGGATCATGCCGGTGCTCTATCCGAGTCGGGAGGGTGGGATGTGACACATGCACGATCATGCATGCACAGGCGTTTCTGTCTTATATATATATATATAGAAACAATACAACAATGCAGGGGCGTTTCTTTCTTGGAGAAACGCCTACATAACAGTGCACGGGCGTTTCTTTCTTAGAGAAACACCCTTGGGCGTTTGTTCTCATGGAAGAACACCCTGGGCGTAAAAGATACACCCAGACCCCAAGTTGGTACCTCCAGGCACCTGAGGGGATTCAGTTCCCAACGGATCACTTAAAAGATCCACTCTTGTCTAGTGTGTGTGTGTGTGTGTTGAAGACGGGGTAGAGCAAAGGCGGCACGTGCACAACGAAGACAGAGAGGGACCTTGCAGCCACAACAATAAAATGTGGGTAAGGGGTGGGTGATCATTCTGTAGCCGCGTAGCCAAAACCGGCATGCCAACACCATGAGTAGAGGTGAATGGCAACTTCCGGTCTTGGCACCATGCGCAATGTGGCCGAACAGCCCGCGCAGACCGTCAACACTCTCACAGTCCGCAAGAAAAGACAAAACTGCAGTGCAAACATAGGCAGAAGCAGCCCAAGGCCAAAAGTCACAGACCTGCCGTACAAAATGGACGTCGATGTCTCCAAGTGCCACACCTGCCACGCAAAAACAAAGTCGATCTCACCAAGCGCAGCCTCTGGATGTCGCCAATGCCACGCAAAAGACCGCGCCCTGAACCTCCGAGAAGCTCTAAAACAGAGCTGGCAGCTCAGTTTTGGGCTGCCAGCTCTGTTTTTGCATGGATGTCAGACACTCCAATTTGAAACGTGAAACAGCATGTTCAGTTGTGTAGGATTCAGTCTTGCTGCGAAAGTCAGAGAAGATTAGCACAGCCACCTGCACAGGATGACACCCCAAATCGAGACGGCATAGCCGCTTTGTGGTTCAAAACAAGTTGCCAGGGCTGACCTGCGTGCAGGTTATGAGCCCAACCTGTCGCTAGCCGCTGCTGAGGGGCCATGATGAGTCGCAGAAGAGCCAGTAGAAGTCCTGAAGCTGACCGATCGGGTGAAGGAAAGCCAGAGGAGGAGATGCTTGGGCCAACTGGGAGACCTGTGAGTTATGGACCTCAAAACCCCCAACTTTTGGAACTTGAAGATGAAAAGAAAGACGTAGAGAATGAAGAACCCAAAAAGGAGCTAGAGCCGCTGTTCACCGAAGAACAAGTGAGACAGTTTGAAGAACTGCACAGCAGAGCACCTCTGTTGTATGGAACTCCACAGAGGACGCAGCTAGGAATAGAGGATGAAGCCAGATCTTCAGGTCTAGCTTTTGAAGATGTGCAGTTGGAAAGACCGAAGTTTCTACCTGCCGAAAGACCTGCAGCGATGCCTGCTGGTACGCCCTCAGTGATTTATCAGCAGCAGATGATGCAGTACTTCTTCATGTTGCAGCATGAGAACTTGCAGCTGAAGATGGAACAGGAGTTGTTGAAAGAGAAGCTGAGGGAGAATGAAGAAAGAAGGGCATCAGAAGTGGAGGTGCCAAATGGCGAAGGAGGAAGAAAAGCTAAGCCTGAAGTGGAAGGGTTTCAGACTCCGGAAAGCCAACAGCAAGGAGGTCGTGCAGCCGAAGACCGGGTGGTGAAGACAGAGAATGACCTGGAATCTGACAGGAGAAGGCTGTACGATTTGACGCCAATGGAGCAGTATGATGAACTGCAAAAGATGATGGATACTGCGGTGGGTTCAGTGAAGAAGCCACATCCTGGACGAGACCTTCGGGGACCTCTAGAATCTCATCAACCTTCAGAAGGAGCACGACAGAAAGAAAGGGAAGTTCCGAAGAAGGAAGCAGGTGAGAAGGGGACCGGAGGAGATGCCAGGAAGAACCAAGGAAATACTTTGGAGCCAGCTGATGATGGAAGAATGCAGAGGCAGGTTGATGTCCTGTCTAAGATGATGTTGCACCTTCTGGAAAGTCAGCAAGGTAAAAATGATGGAGAAAAGATGGAAGCGGTCAAACCTGGAGTGAACAAGTTGCAGACTCCTCAGGAGCCGACCGAAACGGCCCCCATTGACTATGCTGACTGGTTGACCATGATAGAGCCGGTGATGACGGATCTGTCTGACAGTTCGCACGTTTGGTGGCGACTTGTAATGGATGAATGCAGCGAATGGTACTCTGAGTATGTGAAGCTTCGACCACTTCAAAGAACGAGCTTTCAGATCGAGGCCTCTGAAGAACTGAAGAAGACGAAGTGGGTTCGAGTGGAACGCCGAGCTGTTTCCATGCTCATGGATGCCATACCCACCGGAGTGAGAGAGGAGCTTGTTTCTACCAAATCACTTTCTCCAGTGAAGGTGATTGCCAAGTTGATGAACATCTACCAGCCTGGTGGACTACATGAACGAACTGTGATTCTTCGTCCGTTGGAAGAGCCTGGCGAAGCTGGAAACGCAGTGACTGGAGTTCAAAGTCTTCGGAAGTGGTTGCGGTGGTTGAGACGAGCCCAGGATGTCGGGTTATGCTTACCCGATTCCGCTATACTGTTGCGTGGCCTGACCAAGTTGATGAAGAAGCTGCTGAACAACAACCCAGAACTAGCTTTCAGAACCTCACTTGTCAGAAACACACTCCAATTGGATACAATTCCAAACCATCAAACTGTGAGGACGTACTCTGAACACCTGCTGTCGGAACTGGAGAAACTGGTGCACTTGGAGAAAAGGTCAAAGGTGGCTAATGCAGAAAGAGCGACAGCCCCAACCTCCAGGTGAAGCAGTTGAATGCCGCAAGCAGTGGGAGCACGGAGGACAAGAATGTGAAAAAGAATGTGAAGGAATGCAAGTTCTTCCATCAGGAGGATGGTTGCAGACGTGGTGCAGCTTGCACTTGGGGACACAATGTGGAGCCAGGGGAGAAAGGTGCTATGTGTGCGGATCCACCAAGCATTTTGCGAGGGAGTGTCCACGTAAGGACATTCAGAAAGATCCAAAGGTGCAGAAAGTGGAAAAGGAGGCTGAGACCCCCAACAAAACCGCCAATAAGAGCCCTGCCCCTGCTGAGGCCCCAGCAGTGGCAACAAAGGAGGCTGAGACCACCAAAGAAAAAGTTGCTAGTGTTGGAGGAGACTCTCTGCGAAGCGTCATGGAAGAAGCTTCGAAAATGCTGAAGAGCATGGGAGTTGAAGAAAAGCCTACAAAGGCCAGGGAAGAAATGACCAAAGGACGGATGCTGGAGCTACAGAAGGAGTTGCAACAGATTCAGGACGGATCGTGGAAGCCTAGAGTCAATATGATGAGGACTGCCATGGTTGCCCGAGTCAAGTCCGGCAAAAAAGCATTGCTGGATACTGGAGCCACTCATGCTCTGAGGTCCAGGAGGAGTGATGAGAACCTGGTTGAGGGCGAAGAGTACAAGAGGGTGAGAGTGAACCTTGCAGCTGGAGGTTCAAAGACGATGTGACGTGGATGACTGATGGAGGAACCTTGGTACATGAAGAACCGGGGATGGAACCGATACTACCAGTTGGTCGGCTAGTACGAGAACTGGGATGCAGCTTTGAATGGAAGGATGGTGAATGCTTTCTTTTCCATCCCATCAGGGGACAGATAGCAATGGAGGTCGAAGAAGGATGTCCACAGATCACCCAGGTAGAAGCGGAAAAGATGGTGGATGAACTTGAGGGAATAATGTCGCTTCGAAGCATGAAATAAGTGGCTCATGATGATGCATGTTGGGGCGCAGAATGGATGGCTGAGTTGGTAGAGAAACATCCAGTACTAGCCTCAATACCCTCACTTGTCAAGGACAACCTAGTGGAAGTGCCGGCTGAAGACCTTTCTCTTTCGAAGGCCAACAGAAGGACCAGGAGACGATGGATTGAACAAGGGGTCACTGTACATTTGTATGCCGGGCCAGAAGAAGGCCTGACTCTGAAGAGAGCCTACTTGGAAAAGGGAGGTGATGGCACGAGGTTGATTGAAATAGACGTGAAGAGAGGAGCACATCATGACATGTTGAAAATTGGAGGGATGTACAGCACCCTCCTCAAGCTGGCGATGCTAGGAGCCATTGATGCAGTGGTTGGTGGCCCAAATTGCCGTACACGTTCAGTGCTGCGACACACTCCAAGAGAAGGCTTCCCAGGACCATCGAGGACAGCGGGATACCCTTGGGGACTTCCAGATGCTCCCCCTGAAGAACAAGGAAAGTTGTTGCAGGATGACGCACTGATGCTGAGGATGTTGACCCTGTACATGGTTGCACAGATAGCGAGAGATGCAAGGGTGAAAGAAAGAAGCAAGAGGTATTTGAAGGCCAAGGTTGGATTTCTGTTGGAGCAGCCAGCGGCACCAGAGTGGTGTCCAGAATGCGCTTCGTGGTGGAGAAATCGAACATGGTTGCTGTTCAAGCACTACTACCAGATGGAAGAAGTGACGTTTCCCAGAGGGGCATTTCGGGCATAAAACCACCCCAAGTGCTGACAGAGGGTTTTAATGCAGAAATGGCCATTTCGGGCTTAAATCCCCAGATTAGGTTTGTTTATTTGTTGATTTTCATGCAAAAAGATGGTTTGAAGGGTTGCGTGCTCGATCAGCTGTTGCCTTCGCATTTGTGGCCTCTGAGACCTGTACTGGATTCATATATGTCATGGGGCCGCTATAGGGCTGTGTCTGCGCTCACGGTACATTCACATGTCAAATGTTTTATTGCTTAGCACTCGTCCTCTTTCGTGTGTGTGAAGCCCTGCGCCCGAGAATTTTCCGAGAATTCGGCGCTAAATCCCCCCATATCGGCGCTAAAAACCCGTGAAAATTCATGGGTCAGATTTTTGGGTGATTGGTTGCGCATTTTTGAAAGCTGATGCATGGGCAGACGCAAGAAACAATTAGCAATTCGCTGTTTGGGTGTTAGTGGGTCGTGACATGTGTTTAACATGTGTGGTGGCAAAGTTTGCTCTTTTTGCACCAGCAATTTTTAGAAATTCTTGACTAAGGGAAACCCACCAAATACGTGGTTTCTACATGTTTTTGTGGCTTCATTTTCAAAGGGGCTATCGTGCTGATAGCGGGTTTTAATGCTGATTTTGGAAGATAGGGGGGTTTTAAGTCAGAAATGACCCTCTGGGTTTACCAAGGAGATTTTGGAGGTGAAGCGAGGAAGCCGACAACGTGCGGAACAAACCTTGGGTTTCGACCACCAGACCCACTAGTACATGGTGGGAGGAGCAGGGAACAAGGTCCAGAACTGGATTCCAGTAAGCTCTCGAGGTGGGCTCCTGGGATGATGCATGAAGTTGCAAGGCTTTTGATAGAGGAAGTGGAAGGAAAAGAGGTTCGACTGAAGAAGCTGTCGTGGACTGCCCACGTTGACAATGGGCATGTGCCGTTTCGGCGCGATTGTTTGCCAGAGATCAGCAGCAAGACAGAGGCCGCATCGGAGACACGATGATCCAGAGGCGCATTGTCTGGCTGTTGACATTTGTGGCCCATTGAAGTGGGGTCAGGACGTGGATGGTGAAGAGAAGAAGTACCTTTTGGTCGGCTCCTACACGTGGCCAGTGGAAGGTAAGGAATCTGATGAGAGCTTGGGGATGTTGGAAGAAGAGACAGCCGAAGATGAGGAAATGCTTCTGGTTTTGGAAGATGAAGAAGCAGAGCGAAGGGAAGCATCGGCATCTTCTTCTTCGTCGTCCAAGAAAGAGGTTCAAGCAGAGAGTTTACCTTCAAGACCAGCATCAAAGAAGAAAAGGGAGGAAGAGAAGCCTCCTGAAGATGCAGAAAGTGTGGAGGAGAAGGCTGAAGAAGGGAAGTTGGAAGAAAAGTTGAAGACAAAAGGAATGTTGAAGCTGATGACATGCGTGCCATTAGCCTCAAAGCATGCGCTGGATGTTTTGTCAGGAGTCCAGGAATTGGTGGTGAAGCTCAGAAGGTATGGCTACCCAGTCGCACGTCTGCACACGGACTATGAAACAACCTTTGTCAACAAGCACTTGAAGGGATGGTGCCTGAACCGAGGAATTGTGAGGACATCGTCCACCCCAGAAGAACACCAACAAAATGGAAGAGCAGAAGCTGCAATAGCTTCTATCAAGGGAAGGGTGCGACGTCTCTTGCACTCCTCTGGTATGGAGACGAAGTGGTGGCCGATTGCAGCACGACACGTGGTAGAGCTGGAGAGAAGAAGGTTTGAAAAAAATGAGGATAAGCTGCCAAGGTTTGGACAGAAGATCGTTACAAGAAAGCGAAAATGGAAAAGAGGAGATGAGTTTGAAACTACAGCGCAAGAAGTCACTTACCTGACTCCAATTCCAGAAGTTTCGAAAGGACATGCGGTTATGGAAGAAGATGGGAGCTTCAAGGTAGTGAGCTGCTTGATCAAAGACTGCAAAGAGCCACAGGAGGAGGAAAAGAAGGTAGAGTTAGAAGAAGTGATTCAAGAAAGGGATCCCATGGAAGCACGAAGAAGACTGAGGAAAAAGATGTCAGTAGCTTCTTTGAGGATTCCAGAAGAAGAATTTGCAGAAAGTATCAAGCTGTTCCAGGCAGTTTTGGAGCAGGATGAAGCGATGTACAACGAAGACGAAGAGGTCATTCCGGCAGTGATGAAAGGGATGATTGCCATCAGAAAGGAAACGGCTGCACTGCAAGAGGGCAGACTTGAAGAAGAGGTGTTACAGACAAGGGTAGTTTCCAACCAGGAAGTGTACCAAAACAAAGATGAGTGGGTTGGAGCTATCAGAAAAGAGATCGACAATCTGGTGCAGAAAGGAGCAGTCAAGAGGCTGACCAAAGAGGAAGCTGCGTACTACAAGAGAGAGCATGCAGACAAGTTGGAGGTGGTGCCAGGGAAAGCAGTACACACGGTAAAAGCGCCAGACGGAAGAAAGAAATGCCGCCTGGTGGTGTGTGGAAACCACCTTCAAGGAGGAGATAAAAAAGAAACCAAAGAGGAACATGCCAACTACTATGCAGGAGGGGCAGACACAATCTGCCTGCGATTTGCACTGTCCATGGCAGCACGCTATGGATGGGACATTGCAGGTTTAGATGTGGTTGCAGCGTTTTTGAACGCGCAGCTGGGAGATGTGCATGAGAAACCACAACCAAGAGAAGATCCAACCAGAGGCAGAAGCCGCATTGTGTTGATGCAACCACCGCGGGTTCTGGAAAGACTGGGCTTGGTCGAAGTTGGAGAACTTTGGCTAGTGGAACGTGCTCTCTATGGACTGAGAGAGTCGCCTCGGTTGTGGAGTGATCACAGAGATGGAACACTGCATGGCATGGAGATACAACAAGGAGGCAGGATGTTGAAGTTGCTGCCGAGTTTTGCAGAAGAAAACCTTTGGCTGATCAATGATCAAGGATACCAGTCTTAGGGACGAAGGTGGAGTACAAGGCTTGGTTTTGCTGGGTAACTTGGAAACAGCTGTCAATCTGTGATTTCCAGTCGGGAAATGACCATTGAACTCTTAATTTAATGTTTGGAAGCGTTAGGTTCAACCCAGCAGCTATGTCACCAATGTAATTTGTGTTTTTCTCGTGGGTCTCCTTTCTGAAACACGTTTCAAGGCAGAAAAGTTATTAGGGATAGCACATGCGCTATTTTCTTTTCTCGTGGCGTTGGGCTCTGAACTGCTGCAGTTCCTGTCCTTGTCCGCGGATGGCTTTTGGCTGTTCCGGCCAAAGCCACATTCAGCGCCATGCAGTCTTTGGCTGATCCGGCCAAGGCTGCATGCGCTGGGTCTGGCGATGGCAAGTCCAAATGGATGCGGCTGTCAAGCAAATGGACAGCTGAATTTCTGTTGGATCCTGCATGCCCAGAGGCTGGGTCATGGTTACAGGCAGCCATGGGGGATTGGCTGCAAAGCTTGAGGATGAACGTGAAAGTTTTCTCGCCCTTGTTTCCAAAACTCGCACTAAATTACTGAAAGCATTTCCGCTGCATGAAGTGCCAGACAGAGTGGAAAATTGCAGAAATGCGTTCTTTTGGATGCGGCAGCACTTGCATGGCACCGGCGTTGCCAAATGTTTGCGGGACCTGGAGATAGCCTTGGACATTTTGACGGCAATCAACTTGACAGACTTAGATGCAGCCCCAGACCGTCGCATTGTCACAGGGTTGCCGCTGCGAATGCAAGGCGTTAAATGCGGTCTCACCAACAATACCAAGCAAGAGTTTCTTCATGCTGAAGAGCTCATGGCACTTTTCGTGCAAGTGAGCCAAGCAGGGGTTCACTTGGACATGGGCACCTGGTTTGATTTTTTTTTCGTGGCAGTGCACGAAGGCCGTGTGGATGTTAATCTTCGCACTGGGGAATTTCATGTGGACTTTGGCAAGTCGAACATCAGCTGCTCCGGCTGAGTTCGGATCGCCAATCCTGGCAGAAGCGTGACAGGCTGCTCCGGCCTGCACGCTTGGAAGTGTTTTACTTACCCTATAGGTCAGGCAAGGTTATTTGGAGCAAAATAGGTAAAAGTGATTTTGGAGGCAATTTTCTAACTAATAGTTTATTTTTAAGGAAACAAAAATAGCTATTTTTTTTAACTACATAGTTAATTTTTAAGGGTCCATTTCAATGTAATTTTTGGGGTTTAAAAAAATACCTTCAAAATTTACCTTGAAATTTTGCATTTTTTGCATGGAAAAATAATGAATTTCGACATTTTTTTAACATTGAACCATAGTAAAGTGAACATTATCAATTGCTTGAAAGGTATTTTAACAATATGTTTCTTGATTTTGTGTGAAGTCAGTCCTACATGATTACTGGAAGTGCAAAAAACTATATTGTTTGAACTTATACTTGTTTGAGCAAATCAAAGTTTTTATTTGTGAAGATCAAATCTGATTGGATGTTTTGAAGATATGTTATACAACATCAAAGCTACAATGAAGTAACCCCAAGCATACATTCTGTCTTTGAAAGCTCGGTGAGGACATCCATCAAAGTATAATTGAGTTTTTGGTCTTTCTTGTCAAAAAAAAGATTTTGACAGCCGGTCTTTGACAATCTCTGCCCAGTCGCTCCTGGGAGCACTTGCCCTGCTCAGTTTCACAGGAGCATCACAAATCGCTTTTGGCAATGCTGAGGATGAAGTAACCACAGCTGGTGTAGAGGAAGCACTGCTACCACAACTACCACTACCACTACCACCACAACTAGCTCCAGTGCCAAGCTGGCTCCAGGGCCTGCTCGACATGAATTGACTCATCTGCGAATAACTCATCCTTGGTGATGTTGGCTTGGCCACCATGCAAGACCATGGAACTGCCCTGCTTCTTCTCAATGGCTGTGGCTATTGTCCTGACATGATAGTAACCATCTTTCTGATAGACATCACCTCGTCTTTCTGCTCATTCAAAGCTTGCTGGTTTCACTGGATTTTTTCCACGACATGATGGAGTGAGGCAACCCAGTAACCTGAGATTTGTTGGTGCAAATCTCAAAGTTCTTCTTGAAAACCTCGCACTGGGTATTTCCAGGAGCAAAAGCAAACTCGCCACTGGTGTTCTGCTGAAAGACTTTGTTGATGAATTGACTCTTAAATAACCTTGGGGGAGGAGAATTCTTGGAGCCCTATTCATAGAGCTGCTGAAGATCTTCTGGCACCTGACCACTTTTGATCATTCTGGCACATTTCCTTACCTTGGGGTAGCTTCGATGCTCATCATCAGCAACTGTTGCATCCTCCTCGTTAGGCTCCTCATCTTCTCCTTCTGCATGGTCATCAGGAACTGGCTCATCCCTGGTCTTCTTCCATCCTGCTGCCATCTCCTTGGCAGTCTTCGCTTTGGCCTTGGCTTTCGCCTTCAGCTGCATCAGGTCTTTTCAGGATTTTCTTCATTGTGCTCTTGGCTTTTGCCTTTTGAGCTTTCATTGGCGAAGAAGTTCCCCCAGGAGCTTTGCTGGCAGCAGCCTTGGCTTTACCTGCTGCCTTTGCCTTGACTTTAGATTTTGCTTTCACTTTGGCTTTGGCCTTTGCCTTGGGTGCTGCAGTATCTAAGAATCTAAGTCAGCTCATGGGGCAGCTTCTTCTGGAGAAGCCTGTTCTACAGATTCTGGTGCTGGTTCAGGTGGAGGCAAAAAGCAAGCATAGCATCAGGTTACCAACAGGGGCGACAAGTGACAAGTAACTTCAATCTTGAGCACCAGTGTGCTACATGGATGGTAAATGCACTTGTACACTTGACATATTTTCCAACCTTTCACCAAAAAAGTAGCCCACATACCAAAGACCTCGTGCATGTATCAACCAACCATTGTGCTATTTATCATTCACAAAAGGTGCTGCATGAGATTTTCTTATTTTTGGATGGTAATATGTTTTTGTGAAATGAATATTTGTCCTATGCATGCAATAATGGAAAACAATACTTAAAGATATGCTTCGACTTTAAGAAGTGGTTCGTGTTCAAAAGCATTAACAAGATAAACAAATATATAATTAGAAAAATAAAACATATATATATATATAGAATGAATAACAAAAACAATAAATGAACAAAAAATAGTATATATATATATATACAGTATGTATATATATATATATGTATTCAATCAATAATCAGTGGTGGTATATGTGGCAAAACAAACATATTACAGTTTCAGTATTGTACATGTGTTTTTTTGTTTTATTTATGTATGTTCACCTAATGTAATTGCTCTTGTCCTAGGTTTTTTTGAAACTTTAAGGCATCATGTACCCAAATACTAATGTAGAGATATATGTGTATTCATTTGGTGTGGTGTTATTGGTTGGCTTGGGGTTACAGTTTTGCAAACCAAAACCATTGCATGCCAACCAACCCTATTAGGTACTTTGTAAAATGAAAGGTGCTTTAAACCCCCCTTAAGGTACCTTTTTTATTTTTAGCAAAATAAAACAAAAATAAAAATGGGAATGCCCCAAAAATGTGTAATGAAAATATTTGATTATAGTTTCTGTATTGTACATGTGTTTTTCTTTTCTTATTTATGTATGTTCACCTAATGTAATTGCTCTTGCCCTATGTTTTTTTGATGACACTTTAAGGCATAATGTGACATAATGTACCCACATACTAATGTGGAGGTATATGTGTATTTATTTGGTGTGGGGTTATTATTTGGCTTGGGGCTACTGTTTTCAAACAAAGCCCATTGCATGCCAACCAACCCTATTAGGTACTTTGTAAAATAAAAAGGTGCTTTAAGCCCCCTTAAGGTACCTTTTCATTTCTTGGGAAATCACAAAACAAATAGACATATAGATGTCTCAAAATGCCTAAGGCAAATGTTTGATTACAGTTTCAGTATTGTACATGTGTTTGTTGATGTATTATTTATGTATGTTCACCTAATGTAGTTGCTCTTGTCCTAGGATTTTTTGGATGCAACTTCAATACATAATGTACCCAAATACTACTGTGGATATATATATATATGTGTGTATTCATTTGGTGTGGGGTTATAATTTGGTTTGGGGTTACTGCATTGCAAACCAAAACCAATGCATGACAACCAAACCATGTTTTGGGTTACTTTTTAAAACACATTTAGACATGGTGGGTGTAACATGTCAAAACAATTTGCACAATAAACAACCACTGTTTGGTTTTTTTAAATGAGAAAAACACTTACAAAGAATAGTAATCCATATTTGGGGTTACTTCTTTTAAAATGATCCCAGCAATAGATCCCTATGTTGTGTTTTTTTTCAACCAGTAGCATACATGAAACCTATTTTAAAAAAAACAAAATTGAAATGAAAAACTCATTTTTTTGAAACAAACAAACATGGTTTTCAAGAAAATAAACACTATTTTTTTAAAGAAAAAACAAGTTTTCTCTATATGTTTTCTTTACTGCCCTGAAAGTTTGTTGAAAGTTCGTTGCAAACTTTCAGTCAAACTTTCAGGGGGGGTTGCAAGTTTGACTGAAACTTTCAATGCAAACTTGCAGGGCTGGATTGAAAGTTTCAATGCAAACTTTCAAGGCTGGATTGAAAGTTTAAAGAAACTTGCAGGGCTACATTGAAACTTTCATGCAAACTTTCAGTGTAGCCCTGCAAGTTTCTTTAAACTTTCAATCAAACTGTGTTTATTTTCTTGAAAACCATGTTTGTTTGTTTCAAAAAAATGAGTTTTTCATTTCATTTTTTTAAAATAGGTTTCATGTATGCTACTGGTTGAAAAAATAAAAACAACATAGGGATCTATTGTTGGGATCATTTTAAAAGAAGTAACCCCAAATATGGATTACTATTCTTTGTAAGTGTTTTTCTCATTTAAAAAAATCAAATAAAAAACGAAGGTTATTGTTGCCTGGTGTTTAGATAAACATGTAGTACAAACCATGGTTTGTGTTTGATTGAATGTTGTGTGTTTTCAAAATAGAAACCCCAAACATAGGTTGGTTGTCATGCAATGGTTTTGGTTTGCAATGCAGTAACCCCAAACCAAATTATAACCCCACACCAAATGAATACACACATATATACATATATACCTCCACATCAGTATTTGGGTACATGATGCCTTGAAGTTGCATCCAAAAAATCCTAGGACAAGAGCAACTAAATTAGGTGAACATACATTAAAATAAAAAACCAACAAACACATGTACAATAATGAAATTGTAATCAAACATTTGCCTTAGACATTTTGCGACATCTATATGTTTATTTGTTTTATTTTTCCCAAAAATGAAAAGGTACCTTAGGGGGGCTTAAAGCACCGTTTTATTTTACAAAGTACCTAATAGGGTTGGTTGGCATGCAATGGGTTTTGTTTGAAAACAGTAGCCCCAAGCCAAATAATAACCCCACACCACATGAATACACATATACCTCCACATTAGTATGTGGGTACATTATGTCACATTATGCCTTAAAGTGTCATCAAAAAAACATAGGGCAAGAGCAATTACATTAGGTGAACATACATAAATAAGAAAAGAAAAAACACATGTACAATACAGAAACTATAATCAGATATTTGCACTAGACATTTTTGAGACATTCCCAATTTTTATTTTTTGTTTTATTTTGCAAAAAAAAGGGACCTGAAGGGGGGCTTAAAGCACCTTTCATTTTACAAGGTACCTTATAGGTTTGGTTGGCATGCAATGGGTGTGGTTTGCAAAACTGTAACCCCAAGCCAACTAATGACTAATACCACCACACCACCTGAATACATGCGTATTAATGCATACATATATATATATAAATATATATACATAGACAGTGATATTTAGGCACATTACGTCTTAGAGTTTCATCAAAATAATCATAGGACAAGAGCAGCACATAAATAACAAAACAAACAAGATATGTACAATACTGAAATTGCAATAAAATAATTGCTCTAGACATTTTGAGACATCTCCATTTCTATTTCTTTAATGCTTTATTTTTCCAAAAAATGAAAGGTACCTTAAGATGGCTTAAAGCACCTTTCATTTTCCTAGGTACCATTGTGGAACCAGTTTTTGAACATGTTAGGCTTCGGTTTCGGGAACCAATTTTCAAAAGGTTTGAGACATCTCCAGTTCTACTTTTTTAAGTTTTGTTCAATGAAAATGAAAAAGCCATGCAACATCCATTGTGAAGTATAGATATCACATTTGTTGATTGATACATTCACAAGGTCTTTGGTATTTCTGTTGTAAGCTTTTCTGACATCATCATGGGCAAAACATGTTCTTCATGGAGTTACTTTTGGTGAAAGGCTGGAATTTACGTCAAGTGTACACTTAGGGATGTCTCAAAATAGGAGTGCCCCAAAGCTCTGTTTTGCACACTAAAAAACAAGGGCTTGGGCCCCCCTATTTTGAGACATCCCCAATTGCATATACCATCTGTGTAGCACACTGGTGCTCAAGATTGAAGTTACTTGTCACTTGTCGCCCCTGTTGGTAACCTCATGAAGAGGCCTGCTTGTCCACCTGATGCTATGCTTGCATGTTGCCTCCACCTGAACCAGCACCAGTCTTCGCTTTGGCCTTGGCTTTCGCCTTCAGCTGCATCAGGTCTTGTCAGGATTTTCTTCATTGTGCTCTTGGCTTTTGCCTTTTGAGCTTTCATTGGCGAAGAAGTAACCCCAGGAGCTTTGCTGGCAGCAGCCTTGGCTTTACCTGCTGCCTTTGCCTTGACTTTAGATTTTGCTTTCACCTAGGCTTTGGCCTTTGCCTTTGGTGCTGCAGTATCTAAGAATCTAAGTCAGCTCATGGGGCAGTTTCTTCTGGCAAGGAGATGGCAGCAGGATGGAAGAAGACCAGGGATGAGCCAGCTCCTGATGACCATGCAGAGGGAGAAGATGAGGAGCCTAAAGAGGAGGATGCAACAGTTGCTGATGATGAGCATCGAAGCTACCCCAAGGTAAGGAAATGTGCCAGAATGATCAAAAGTGGCCAGGTGCCAGAAGATCTTCAGCAGCTCTATGAAGAAGAGGGCTCCAAGAATTCTCTTGAACACCAGATGCGAGTCTGTGTTTGCTCCTGGAAATACCCAGCGTTCGAAGTTTTCAAGAAGAACTCTGAGATTTGCAACAAATCTCAGATTACTGTGTTGGCTTAGGTTGTGGACAAAATCCAGGGAAACCAGCAAGCTTTGAATGATGCAGAAAGACGAGGTGATGTCTATCAGAAAGATGGTTACTATCATGTCAGGACAATAGCCACAGCCATTGTGCCCTGCCATGGTCTTGCATGGTGGCCAAGCCAACCTCACCAAGGATGAGAGTTCGCAGGTGAGTCAATTCATGTCGAGCAGGCCCTGGAGCCAGTTTGGCACTGGAGCTAGTTGTGGTGGTAGTGGTGGTTGTGGTAGTGGTAGCAGTGCTTCCTCTACACCAGCTGTGGTTACTTCATCCTCAGCATTGCCAAAAGCGATTTCTGATGCTCCTGTTAAACTGAGCTGGGCAAGTGTGCAGCATGACATCAAAGAAACCAAAGTGGTTCAGGAGCGACTGGGTAGAGACAAGAAAGACCAAAAATCAATGATACTTTGAAGGATGCCCTCACTGAGCTTTCAAAGACAGAATGCATGCTTGGACAATGCTTCATTGCCAAGTATGACTGGTTCATTATTGCCATAATCTTGTTTCATGAATTTTCTGACTTTTCCTCATTTTTGCCATGCTGTTGTTTCATAAATTTTGTCAGTGACACAAACACTACCCATGATCAAATCATTTGATCCAATCAAGTGCCAAGGGAAAAACATGAGACCCTGTCAAAATACATGAAATAAACCCATGCACATATGTCAGCAGCACGTATATAGTAACCCCAAGAGAACATCAGACACATACCATATAACAAAAGAACATAAATAAATATATATATGTAAAAACGAAGTGAAAAAACATAACCCTTACAAATTACCTTGAAAAAGGTTCTCAATAATTACCTTCAAAGGTATTTTTTTTAACTAATAGTTAAAAAAAATCGACCAAAATTATCTTCAAAAAGGTAATTTTTTTAGAGTTACCTATTTTGCTCCAAATAACCTTGCCTGACCTATAGGGTAGGCAGCAATGACGAACGCAACAGGCTGATCCGGCCTGGGCGCTTGGGAGCCTCATTTTTGTATGGTAGCAAATGTTTGCACAGCGGCGGCCTTGCAGAAGCCAGCTGCTCGTCGAGCTCGAAATCCATGACAGCAAAACAAGACGAGAAAGACTCTTAGGAGCCTCTCCGCTGCCCCTGACAAGCTCCTAAGGAGAGGGCGATTTGACCTCTCCTTAGGAGCATCGCCGTCGTTGGCGATGCTCCTAAGGAGAGGACGCGGAGAGGACGAAACTGAAATTCCGTTAAGCGATCATGCAAAACATACCATTGTCCTCTCCGTGTCCTCTCCTTAGGAGCATCGCCATCGTTAGCGATGCTCCTAAGGAGAGGACGATTTGACCTCTCCTTAGGAGCTTCCAAATACTCGTTCGTCGTCGCTTTTGGCTCCAGTTGTTTTAGTGGTATTTCTGACCCGGCCGTTCCCTGCCTCGGACACGAGAGCCATTGGCTGCTCCGGCCAAGGCTCTCTCCAAAAACTTCTTGCCCAGGCTTTCGGACGAATGGACATTGAAATGGTCTCAGAAAAAGGACCTCTATGGTAAGAAGCACCTCATCTCTGTGGGAGGCAAAATAGAAGGATGGACGAATATGGACGACAAGCCCAAGGTCAATGACCGTGCGAAGGACGCGCCAGAGCCAGTGTGCTTCTTCAGCCCTCCCATTGAGCTGATGGAAGAGCTGTTGCACACATTCTTTGGGAAGATGGATGTGGATCTGGGGGCAGCAGATGGCAAACTAGGTTTTGCTTGTTTGCAGAACAGAGTGGCCTACCTTGGTGTCACCTACAACGAGGTCCACAGCAAGCTGTTGGAGGGACTTGACCTGATGCAAACCAGCATGGCATACCCGTCGAGCCCTTTTTTCAACAACAACTATGCGCAAGCCATCGGCGTCGTGACCCACACTCCGACTCCGAAGCCGAAGCCAGGCCCAAAAGCAAAGACAGAAACAAAAAAAAGGAAAGCAAATGCGTCTGGGAAACCGAAGCCCAAGCCGAAAGCCAAGGCGACTGAGGAGCCTCCGCCTAAAAAAAATAAAAACAAACCAGGATGGCAATGGCGATGACAACAATGAAGGAGACGAAGAGGAGGATGACGTTTGGGACCCGCTGGTTGCCGCCTAGCTTGTACGACTTGTGTGTGTGACAGGAACTAGCTGCTCCGGCTAGTCCTGTTCATGCACTGGCAAAGCAAGTCGAAAATTTTGAAATTTCGATAGCTCAGCAAGCAGACGGCAGGTCTGGCTGCTCCGGCCGTCCTGCCACATGCAATGTGCTGGCATTTTTGGGACGTTAGGGATCAGATTTAGCTGCTCTGCCTAAAATGAAACGCGTGCAGCCTCAATGGTTCCAATGCTTCAAGATTCAGAAACTTATTTCCTTTCCTCGTTCCCCGAAGGAACATTTCTCGTTGAAAGTTGAAACCATGCAAAGTTATTTTGGTGTTTTTTTCCGTACATGGATTTACCGGTTGCATCCCACCTTGCAAGTTTCGTCTGAAGCTTCTGTGTTTATCAGGTCAGCAAACGAAGTCTAATGGGATTGAAACGTCATTTCTTATAGGAGATATATGATGGTTCGGCATGCGTCTGCACAGTGGTAGGAAACAGGTTTCTATTATACATGGTTTTCTCGTTTACTTCTTTCAAAGTTATTTTGGATTCTCGTTTTTAGCTGCCCCTGCCACTCCCCTGACTTTGAAGAAAAACAAGGCCCAAAAAAATTCTAAAATTCCGCTAAGCAAAAGTAAGGTGATGTGGAGGTCCTCAAAACAGCCTTTCCCCTGTTTGTCTACGGCAGAGACTGAGCTGGTAGAGGCCATCGAAGGAGTCATAGTTGGAGACTCTCTAGCATGCATAGTGGAAGAGTTAGAAGGAAGAGTGGATAAGCAGCTGGTGTGTGACAACATGGCAGCCGTGGCTTTGTCCACCACGCGGACAGGAGCTTGGCACACACGGCATTTGAAAGTACGTGCGACCCACCTCAAATGGAGGGTGGAAGCTGGAGACTGGAAGATGCAGCATCGGCGGGGCACAGAGCTCGTCGCAGATATGGGTACAAAGCTTCTTGGTGCCAACAAAACGAAGGATCTGTCAAAGAAGATGAACCTGGAATGGCTACCAGATGTAGTAGCCTTCTCCAGAGCGAAGGAAGAAAGGATTGAGAAAGAGGAAGAGAAATTGGCAGAAGAACAGGACAGAGAACCAGCTGTGACGGTATCCAAGAAGGTCTTTGCAGGAGATATGGAAAAGGTGGTAAAGATCGCCACCCTCATGGCGGTACTTCAGAAGGTAGAAGGAGTATATGCCATGGACAAGAGCGAAACGGAAGAAGGATCAGAAGTTTTGGCGGCATTTGGCTTGTTGATGATGATCCTTGGAGTGGTGTTGTACAAGTTGGTGGAAAGACTGTGGAAGATCTTTCATGAGAAGAGAGATCATGAGGAATGCCAATCTCGCGCCCATGCGCGCGACTCTCGCGCCCATGCGCGCGACTCTCGCGCACTCATGCGCGATCGAGAACGTCACCAACTGCATGTACGCGAAGGAGAAGAAGAAGAGATAAGTTGTGAAGAAGGAGAACAGACCACCGTGAAGGTGGCGACTCTGAGGATGAGAAAAGTTGAAAACAAAGGTTCCAATGAGAAAGGACGAGAAGGAGAAAGCTCCGCTACCAGAAGTAACAGTCACACAACTAAGAAAGGCACAGAGGAACGACATGAAAAGAAGGGAGCACAGACAGTGCCTCCTATGCCCGCTCAAGGACTGAGCTGTGGGAACCCTGGAGGAGAGGGAGCCCAGTCTGATCGTCCTGGACGGTGCTGTGGGAACCCTGGAGGAGAGGGAGCCTAGTCTGCACGTCCAAGCGGTGCCGGGCCTATCCAAGGACTGAGCTGTGGGAACCCTGGAGGAGAGGGAGCCCAGTCTGATCGTCCTGATAGTGCCGAGAAGCCTGACCTGGTGGGGCCAATAATCACGCCAAATGGCAGGAGATTCCATAGAAGCAGTGGATGCCCGACGCTGGCCCAGTCTTGGAAAGGAAGAAAGCCGCTTTGTGGAGAATGTGGCGACACCTACTTGGTGACCGACGTGATGATGATGGATAAGAACCAGTTGGTCCATACGAAGAAGACGTGCCCCGTGGGAGAGCTGATCGGATATGATGCATGCCAAAGGTGTGCTTAGCGGCTTGGGCCTAGAGAGCTCAAAATTTTCCAGAAAGCAGGATTGCATGAAAGAAACATGTCAATCCTGGGAGGAGTGCATGGATGTCAGACACTCCAATTTGAAACGTGAAACACCATGTTCAGTTGTGTAGGATTCAGTCTTGCTGCGAAAGTCAGAGAAGATTAGCACAGCCACCTGCACAGGATGACACGCCAAATCGAGACGGCATAGCCGCTTTGTGGTTCAAAACAAGTTGCCAGGGCTGACCTGCGTGCAGTTTTAGAGCTTCTGGGAAGCTCTAAAACAAAGCTGGCAGCTTTGTTTAGAGCTGCCAGCTCTGTTTTGAAGCTTCTAAATTGAGCTGCCAACTCTGTTTTGAAGCTTCTCAGTTTTTTGTTGGATTTTGACAAACTTATGTTGATCGTTGGAGAAGCTCTAAAACAAAGCCGCTCCAGAAGCTTTGTTTTAGAGCTTCCAGAAGCTCAGTTTTAGAGCTTCCAAAATTGAGCTTCCAAAATGGATAAGGTTCCAATACTTTGACAGATTAGTTGCTTTTTGTTGATTTTGTTAGGCTGTTTTCTTTTTGGTGCCTTCTCCAGGCAAGCCATATTCTAGAAACTGGATGGTTTCTTTGCCTTTTCCAAGCAAGCCACATTGTGGCAACTGAAGAACCAGCTGCTTCATGATTTCTGTGCCTTTTCCAGGCAAGCTACATGCTAGCATGTGGCATGTGCAGGCAGCCTTCATCCTCCTGGTCGCAGAGTAGGGAAAGCAGTTGAGCATTTCCATCTGTCCAAAACTTCACTGGCATTGTGGCTGGGGTTGTCTTTGCCACCTCTTCTCCTGAAAAAATATGCTAGAGTACCTCCCATGGTTTCGTCTTTGTATGTCCAAAAAACTTTGACAGGAACCCTCATTTCACAAAGGTGTTGGCAGAGGTGATTTTTTGGCATAATATGCCAGTTTGTGGTCTCAGGATCAAGCCTCAAAGCTTCTTTCTCCAGTTCATCATATTGCTTGACCATCTTCAGGCCAGCCATTTGCAAGGCCTGAGGTTCATTTGTTTCCATTGCTTCAGGCCAGCCTTTTGCAAGGCCTGAGGTTCATTTGTTTCCATTGCTTCATAAGTTTGAGCCAAATACCTGGCAAACTTCTGGCAAGCAAGTTGATGGGGCACTCTTGAGTCCAAATGCTTCTCTGCAAGAACTGGCAAGAGTGGGACAAAATGTCTGATCTGAGCTGCTCGGCCTTTTAGTGTTGGAGGCCCTCTGGATTTTTCCCCCTTGTTGAGGATTTCAGGAGTCAAGTTGGCCAACTTGTAATCCACCTAAAGCTCTGCATATAATTGTTTCACTTCTGCCCACAAGTTTGAAACTTTGGTTTTGAAGCTTCTGCCTTCCAGATTGCAAGCAATCTCTGTGAGAAGCATACCGCAGATGTCTGCCCCAATCCCTTGGTCCATTGTGTGCAACCAATCAGGGCAAACAAGTATGAATGGTCTGGCCAATTTCAAAAACAAAAAAAGCTTTTTGCCCATGGCAAGCACATCTGAAACAAAGGTGGCTCTGGTTTTCACATGCAATCTCTCATTTGGCATTTGAATTTTGTAATTTTCAGGTGTTGCATGGCACATCCAGCACAAGCCTCCTTTTGTGTTATGAATAGGGCATTGGACCCAGCCATTGAACCAATCCCAATCTCCACGGATTTCACAGAGAATGCCTTTTGCAGGCTTTGTCAATGCTTTTCTTGGCTAGTGAAGCAGGAATTCTGGTGCAAATGCTGACACTATAGTCAGCCCATTCCTCTGAAGAATCTTCAGCTTTCCTTTTGGTCGGTCCTGAGAAAGCCTTCTGCAGGCAAGCTAGGCTCAGCACTATTCTTAAACACCAAAGCAGATGCTTCATGTTTGAGCTGCAAATGGCTACCTGTTAACATCTATAAAGGGAGATTCTGTGGTGAAACAAATTTGACTCTGTTGCCCCAAGCCCCCAAAGCAAGGCCCTTTTTTTTGGCCAAGGCGACTCGACATCAGGGCAGGCCTTGCTGCACTAAAGTTGGCCTGTGTGCTCACATGCCTGCTTCAGGCAAGCCACAGTGGCAACATACATTCCTTCCATGCTGCCATGTAGCCTTTCATTTGTCAGCATCCTGCAACCATTTTTTGATTGGTGCCACCTGCTTCTTGGTATCCTTCACAGCATCAAGCACCATCTTTGTCAACCCAACAAGGTCATTTCCCTTGGCTTCACATTCCTCTTGGCTCAAAGAATCCCATTTTCCTTTTCCAGGAAATGCCACTGCATTTTTCTTCGTCTTCCCCAAGGCAGCCGAACTCGTTTCACTCTGCTCAAGGTAGGCTCGCTTCATTTTTCCAGTTGTGCCATCAGGCAAGGCATGAAGCTGGCTCAGGACCATCTCCAAGCCACTGATCTCAGCTGTGATGGCAGTCATGGCAGTCTTGCACTTTCTCCAAGACAGCTGGTACTCTGCCTGGGCCTTGTCAAGTTCGCAGTCTTCTGGGGCAGTCTCATCCTTCAGCATCTCTGGCTCTTTCTGACTCTTTCTCTTCCTTTTTGGAATCATTTTCTTGGGGGCAGGCCCTGCCAATGCTGACCTCATTTTCCTCGAAATTCTCTGTCGCCACATCTTCCACCTTCTCTTCCAATTTCAAGGCTCTGGCCTGGAGGTGGGTAGTGGTCTTCTTCACCATTGCGTACTTCCTTGTATTGCATAACCCCCATCTTTGCCAAGGCTGGACTTTCATGGGGCCTTTCCTGCAGGCCAGCTGTGCAAGCATGGAGAAGATTCACATAGTTCGGGTTGTCAGGCAGAACGCCTTTGTCAGCAGCAATCTGGTCTGCAGTGAACCAATCATCATTAATCTCCACTTTGTGGCTTTCCTCATCTCTGTCCTCCTTCAAGACATCCTTCTTGGAAACTCTGGGGTCCAACTGGCACACTGTGTAAAAAAAGGCTCGCTTGTCTTGCTGTGTTTTGCAGCTGGCGCACTGCAGGAGCTGGTTGTCCCCTTTCTTCTCCAACCCTTTCATGTGCTTCATCATGTTGCTGGCTTCCTTTGGTGGAATGGCAGGCAGTGCCATGGCCTTGGCTGTGGCTTTGGCCTTTGGTGCATCCAATGGCTCTTGCTTCACAGCCACCTGGCTGGTACCTCCCTTGCCATTTGCAGGCAAGCTGTTGGCAGCACCACTGGCAGGGGATGATCCATTGCCATTTTCAGGCAAGGCATTGCTGCCACTTTCAGAAAGTTCTGGAGCAGGAAGGGCCAGGAGTGCCTGTTGGGCAGCTTCTGTGCCATCTCCAGGCAAGCTTGTTTCAGCCTTTGGTTTCTTTCCCTTGGGTTCCTCTGCACTTGCAGGCCTCTCCATGGCTTCAAACAACACTGTTTTCTTTGAGCCAAGAAATTCTGGAGGTGGAAAGTGTGGTGTCACGTTGGGACCTCTTGGATTTAATGATCTTTGGAAATGGAAAGTGTTTTTTGAGCAAAACACATTATTCCAAAAAAATAATATTTTCAAAAGTTGCCGCAGCAACTTTGGAGGCAAAGTTGCCCAAGGCAACTTCTGAGGCAACTTTGGAGTTATATATTGTTTTGAATTATAAATCCCAAAAAAGTATGCAAAAGTTGCCGCGGCAACTTTGCCTCAGAAGTTGCCGCGGCAACTTTTGGGATTCAAATTCTGCCAGAAACAATTTAGTGATTTTTCCGGGGGAAAATACCATACGGCGAACTCACCTGCATTCCAATTTTCACTTTTCAAATTGAAATGCTTTGCCCCTTGATCAAAATTTGTAACCATTGGGGGTTGAACAGTTGAACCCTTCTTTTTATCTTACTCACATGCCAATCCCCTCAACACAAACAAGTCTAATTAATGCAAGTGTTTTAAGGATATGATGGGTGGTTATTCCTTACTTCATTTCTCATCTACACACACACAACATAACATTCATTTTTTCCTTGGGTGATTCCCTATTAGCAAAAAATTGGGCCCATACATAAAAGTATTATTTGTGCATTGTTATTCAACCCACATCACTACTCTTAAATGGCATGTGACCCCTGTTCTGCTCAGCAGCTGCTTTTTTTTTCAGGAGGCGCTGCTGGTTGTCTGCACTGCACCATTTGTGCTAAACCATGTTGCCTTTTCCAGGCAAGCCTTTTCAGGCACATGACTTTGACTTTTGGCAGCTCACTCCTCCAAGGTCATGCTTTCCACTGTGGTGCCTCCCCATTCAGATGCCTCCGCCTCCTGCCAGCTGGCACCCAAGGGGTGCCTCCTACAGGCAAGCCATGTTCAGGCACAGTGCCTTCTCCAGGCAAGCCTGCTCCAATGACACTGGGAGGAGCATCAATTTCTGCAGCAGTCCCTTCAGCTGTTGCCATGTCCACATCCTGGGTGCCTTCTACAGGCAAGGCATTTTCTGCCACTTCACCAGCTTCAACATGCATTGGCTTGGGGGAGCCTGGGGGTTCACTCTTGGTCTTCTTCGTGTCTTCCATGAAGCTGGCACTGCTGCTGCTGCTGTTGCTGCTGCTTGCACCAACCTCCTGCAGTGGGGGGCATTTCAGGTCACACTTTGCTTTCATCTTAGCCACATGATCTCCCAGCTCATCAACCTTTTCTTCAAGCTCCTCCAGTGGAGTTTTGGGAGCTGGCTGTCCAGCTACTTCTGCAGGTTGCTCTGCCTTTGTCAGGCAAGCTGCTTCAGCAGCACTTGGAGACGGGACTGTAGCATTTCCAGGCCCTCTCCAAATCTGATTCTTCCTCCTCTTCATTGCCTTCTCCGGGCAAGCCTGTTTTAGACACATCAGCTTGCGGTGCATCTGCTGTTAATTGGGCTTCTTCCAGCTTTCCCTGTCGCAGCAAATTCATCCATTGAATTGCTCTCTGTCTAAACTGATTCACACTCATCTGCTGGCCTTGGTCATCCAGCCAGTCTGGGAATGGAATTCCATTTTGTTTCATCTGGTACCTCTGCCTAGGACATCTCTCAGGATGCCCAGAGCTGAGCTGCCTCCAAGGCTGCATGTGGTGGGTCATTGCTGCTTTGGGAGTTGAAACCCACAGGCCCATCATCTTCTGGGATGGTCTTCAAATTGCCTTTTTCAAGCAAGGCATTGCTGCCACTTCTTGAAGGCCTTGGAGGTGGGTGCTCTGCAGCTGGAGGATAATTGTGAAGCCTGATAAAAGAGCTTCCTGCAACCTCCAAAATTCTCTCCTTGGCCTGTGCCTGGGGCTTGGTGAAGCCTCCCTTTCAGATGCATCCCTCCTTGAACTGGAAGTTTGGGGCTCCCCACGGATTTGCTCAGCAAGTCACAAAAAGGAAACATGTAACCACATGTACTAAAGCATTTGCAAGTTGGAAACAAAACCGGAAACAACAAGCAGCTTCAAAGTCGAAGAGAAGCTATGGACGCATTTGATCGATGTCCCATCCCCAAAATCATTGCGGGGTCTATCCAACCCTGCTGGCTGCCTCACGAAACCCTCTATATTCTTTTTGCAACAACCCTGTCGAGTGGGAACAAATCCAGGGGCCAAACACATAGACAATCCAGTCTATGACAACAAGAACATTGGCCGGCTTACCTACTCCGGCACCCCGGCCAAAAATCCCCCTGGTCGAAACGATATTAACTCCCCCCTAGCGGCGGGAGGGTGGGGTCAACAAAAAGTCAACACAGCAAACCCAGCCAAACTCAACGGGTCAAATAACTTGACCACCCAAACCGCTACCACGCGATTCAAAACCTTTGGCTGGCAGCTGTAGGACTAGAGAATCAACTGTGTGCAGTCAACAACAATTCGCTACCCCGCGACAAAGACAAAACCCCCTTTTGCAGGATGTCCAAAGATCATGCACACAAACCCCTAAGCAAAACCATCAAACTCAACCCCTTAGCGGGCAAACCATTCCAAACAGGGAAACCCCCTACAGCTCACATTGGAATCAACCCAAAGGGGAAAACGTTCCTTGCTGGCAAACCCCCCTCCGCTGCACTCTGCGGGGCCCCCAATCCTGGTGTAAGACCTGCCCCACCTGTTGGAAGGGCCTTGTTCAGGCCAGGCTGACCACCCACTTGGTTCTTGCCAACCTTGCTGTTGCCCCCATTGCTGATCCCAGTTGCAGTGTGGAGGTGGGTCATCCCTGCCCCTAGAGTTCCAGCCATCTACTGGGTGCCATGAACCATCTTCTTGCCATTGCTGCCAGTATTGCCCTTCATGCCACACAGGTGGGCCCCAGGTAGCTTGTGCCATCATGACCAGGCAAGCCACCAGCCACATTGCCATTTGCAGGCAAGCCTTAGAGGCACAGAAAAACAGAAAGTTCTTCTGCCTTTTGCAGGCAAGCCTATTGCAGGCAAAAAAAAGTTGAGGGTCAGGTCGAGTTTGGTCCACTTAAACAGCTGCAGGCATGCAACACAAACTTACCACCACCAACCATGCAGGCAACCCTGCGGGCAAAGAAAAATAAATGTGGTGGTCATTTTATTCATGACTCATAACAATTTAAATGGGGCTGTTATACCTTTGCATTTTGAAAGATTATAGTTAAAATTTGAAACAAACATGTAAAAGGGCTACAGCGAGCATTTCAAAAATAACCAATGCATGTTGCTCCTTGCTCTAAGAAAAAGGCTCCAGCCCACCCTGGCAGCTGCAGCTGCCTTTTTTTCTGGCCACATGTTGCTTCTGCTTCGATGCTGCTGCCTTTTGCAGGCAAGATGCTGTCATCACCAAAAAACAACTGCCACTTTCAAGCAAAGGCATCACAACAGAAAATTTTTGTGAGAAACCACCTGAGCCTTCCCCAGGCCAGGCTCTCGAACAAATTCAAACAGCTGAAGGGCAACTGCCTTGTGGTCCACACCTTTGCCTAGGGCCTTGGACTTTCACATGCAAAGATGGTTTGTCTGCCTCCTCTTTCTTGGACAGGATGTAACTCTTTTCCTTGAAGCATCCCAGCTTCACATACCCAAAAGATTGTGACACCTTCCAGGCATCTGCTGTTTTGACTTTGCCACTTTTCTTGGCAAGCTTTTAGAGCACAGCAGCTGGTTTCTTCAACACAGGAGGTGCCTCCTCAGGCAAGGCCAAAGGACCAGAGGAAGCTTCTGGAGAACAAACCTTGGAAGATTCAACAGTCATAACAGATTCTTGGGTCATTGGCACCTCCATTTCCTCAGAGCTGCCATCAGCCTTTCCCAGGCTAGCCTTAACAGGCACAGCCAATGCCCTCAGAGCTGCAATCAGCCTTTTCCAGGCCAGCCTTAACAGGCACAACTTTGGCCCTTTGCTTGGCCTGAGCCTTGCCAACAGGAGCAGACTGTTTTGTGCCATCGGCAGGCAAGCCAGTCACCACTGCCAGCAAATCTTTGCACCATGGTGCCATCAGAGCACCTGTCTTCATGTTTCTCCCCTTTCTTTGCACCATCTTTCTCACTTCTCTGAGCTTATCCACGCATGAATTGACACTGCTTGAGGCCATTTTCTGGCCAGAAGAATCCTGCATTGCTTTCCTTTCCACTTCCTTGCTTGTCCCTTTAGACACAGCAAGCCAGGAGGACAGAAAGGTTGCGTGCTTCTCACCAACCTCTTCTGCACTACCCACAAAAATCCATTTCTGTGACACCTTTGGGGAAGTGACTCTTCAAGGCATTCTTCAAATGCAAACCTTCTGACTGCTTCTGTAGCTTCTTCTCTACTGGACCAGAGGAGCTGGAGGAAGTTCGCTTTTTCATTGTGGAAATCACTGGCATTGTGCCTTTTTCAGGCAAGCTCCAGGAGCAAATCAAAAAAAAAAACAAGTCCAGCTATCTTGTTTGAGCCAAAAAACTGCCCTAGATTGGGTTGTTGCCACAAAAGGTCTGGTTTCAACAAACTGATTTGAACACTTTGTTAAAAAGACATGTGTTGTTGCTTTGGATGTCCAAAGTTGGAAGCTCATTTTGGAAGCTCCAAAACAGAGCTTCCAGAAGCTTTGTTTTAGAGCTTCTCAAAAAAGTAACTTACCTGAGAACAATGAAAGAGGTGTAAGCTCCAAAACAAAGCTGCCAGCTTTGTTTTGAAGCTTCCAAAATGAGAGCTCCTCGGAGGTTCAGGGCGGCGTCACCGGCGACCAGCGCGGATGCAAGCGCGTCACCAGAGCCAGCCCAGTGCCACAAGGCCGATCTCACCAAGTGCCACGCCTCCCACGCCAAATGCCTCGTGGGTGTCGCCAAGGACCGGGCGTCAGCGGCGACCAGCGCGGACCAAGCACGTCACAAGAGCCAGCCCAGTGCCACAAGTGCCACGCCTGCCGGGCAAACGCACGGCTGATCTCAGCAAGTGACACGGCTGCCACGCCAAATGCCTCTGGATGT